AGTAAGTGTTTTTCTTTCTTGACTATTAAATGAAGAACTTATTTTCCCAAAGTGTTGCTAATTAAAGTCTGTTTGAAACAGAACTGCCTGTAAGGCCCATTTTTACTGTAAGATTAGCAGATCTTTGGGAGGAAACACCAAGCCTGAAATTCACTATACAAAGCACACTAAACAAATGATTTTTCCTTTGCCCTTCTAACTGTGAAGGTGGTGTATTCTCTATGATGTCAGAATGTGGCACAACATAATCCTTTGCCTATACTTAGTATAAATTTGTTAGACACAACCCCTGCATGCAGTCCAGCAGAGAAACCTGCATTACAGAAATAATTCTTGTGCTGCTGAGCTGGTAGTTTCCCCACTTAATCACTTGTGTGATGTCATCTGTGCCATTGGTAGGAAAGGTGCTGACCACGTCCTGCCTTTTAAGAGGCAGTTGTGACAGAATATTAGCTAAAAATGAAATTAAAAATAAACCTTTGAAGTTACATTGTAGGTTTTCAAAATACAGGATTAAAGTAGCAAAAAATGTTATTAGTCAGTAGATTAGACTTGAACAACCACATTTTGTGGTCGGGCACCTTGTCATCCACTGATGTGCTCATTCCCAATTGCCATAGCACCAGATCATAATTAGGAGTGGGGACTGGGGAGAAGTAGACAGGAGAGGTGAATTGTCTTCAGTGGTCTCACAGTTTTCTAGTTCTAAAGTGAGTCTTAAACAGGCATGGTGGCACATGCTTGTAATGCTAGCACTTGGGAGACTGAGGCAGGAAGGTTATGAGCTCAAGGCCAGCCTGGACAACATAATGAGACCTTGTCTTAAAACAGGACAAAACATAGGAAAAACCAAGCAAAAAATGAAATAAAACAAAACAAATTCTAATTTTGTGTTGCTATAAATAAGGATCTTGATATAAATAAGGATTCTTTTTTAAAATTTAATTATGTATATATGTGTATGTGGGTTTGTGCACATGAGTACAGTGCTAGAGTTACAGGCTGCTGTGAGCAGCCCAGTGTGGGTACCAGGAAACAGGTCCTTTGGAAGAGCAGTGCAGGCTCCTAACCACTGAGCCGTCTCTCCAGCCCCTGGCTTGAGATTCTTACAATGTAACTGCAAGTGGAAGAGGCCCGGTGTTGGTCACCACCTGTACTAGACTGCGCTTAAATCTTTCATCAGGAAGAAGGCAGAATCCCTTATGTACGTTTGATTTTTTGGCAGAAAGATGGACACTACAATGGTGAATTTGTGGACTCTGTTTGAGCAGCTTGTTCGTCGGTTGGAGATTATCAATGAAGGAAATGAAATCCGTAAGTCATTCTGAGCTGGTCTAAATAGACAAACCAAAAAGAAAATCTATCAGGTTTCAGACTGGTCTTTCTCTAAGGCAAAATCGTGTTGAAATCTGAAAGTTGCTTTTCATTCAGGATACCTAGAAAGAAAGTGATAGTCACGTATTCATGGCCTAAGCTTAATGAGCCCTCATTCAAAAGGTTGTTAAAATTCATGTGTGTGTATGTGTGTGTGCCTGTTTGTATGTGTGCCATGTGTGTACAGGTGCCCATGGAAGCCAGAAGACCCTGTTGGAACCCCTGGAGCTAGAGTTAAAGGTGACTATAAACTGCCTAGTATAGGTGCTGAGAACTGGATCTGGGTCTTCTATAAGAACAGCAAGTGCTCTTAACCTCTAAGCCATCTCTTCAGCCCCTCTATAGTTCTTAAGTGAATTTTACCCAGACTTTTTTTAAAAAATATTTTAATTATTATTTTTATTTTATGTGTATGAGTGTATTGCCTGCATGTATGTGAGTGCACCCGTGTTGTGCAATGCTGCAGAGGTCAGAAGGAGGGCTTTGGATTCCCCTGGAACTGGAGTTAAGGATGGTTTGTAGCCACCATGTGGGTGCTGGGAATTGAACCCAGGTCCTCTGCAAGATCAGTCAGTGCTCTTAACCGCTGAGCCATCTCT